GAGGACTCGGGGAGCGAGGACTCGGGGAGCGAGGACTCGGGGAGCGAGGACTCGGGAGCGAGGACTCGGGGAGCGAGGACTCGGGGAGCGAGGACTCGGGGAGCGAGGACTCGGGGAGCGAGGACTCGGGGAGCGAGGACTCGGGAGCGAGGACTCGGGGAGCGAGGACTCGGGGAGCGAGGACTCGGGGAGCGAGGACTCGGGGAGCGAGGACTCGGGGAGCGAGGACTCGGGGAGCGAGGACTCGGGGAGCGAGGACTCGGGGAGCGAGGACTCGGGAGCGAGGACTCGGGGAGCGAGGACTCGGGGAGCGAGGACTCGGGGAGCGAGGACTCGGGGAGCGAGGACTCGGGAGCGAGGACTCGGGGAGCGAGGACTCGGGGAGCGAGGACTCGGGGAGCGAGGACTCGGGAGCGAGGACTCGGGGAGCGAGGACTCGGGGAGCGAGGACTCGGGGAGCGAGGACTCGGGAGCGAGGACTCGGGGAGCGAGGACTCGGGGAGCGAGGACTCGGGGAGCGAGGACTCGGGGAGCGAGGACTCGGGGAGCGAGGACTCGGGGAGCGAGGACTCGGGAGCGAGGACTCGGGGAGCGAGGACTCGGGAGCGAGGACTCGGGGAGCGAGGACTCGGGGAGCGAGGACTCGGGGAGCGAGGACTCGGGGAGCGAGGACTCGGGGAGCGAGGACTCGGGGAGCGAGGACTCGGGGAGCGAGGACTCGGGGAGCGAGGACTCGGGGAGCGAGGACTCGGGGAGCGAGGACTCGGGAGCGAGGACTCGGGGAGCGAGGACTCGGGGAGCGAGGACTCGGGGAGCGAGGACTCGGGAGCGAGGACTCGGGGAGCGAGGACTCGGGGAGCGAGGACTCGGGGAGCGAGGACTCGGGGAGCGAGGACTCGGGGAGCGAGACTCGGGGAGCGAGGACTCGGGGAGCGAGGACTCGGGGAGCGAGGACTCGGGGAGCGAGGACTCGGGGAGCGAGGACTCGGGGAGCGAGGACTCGGGAGCGAGGACTCGGGGAGCGAGGACTCGGGGAGCGAGGACTCGGGAGCGAGGACTCGGGGATGCGAGGACTCGGGGAGCGAGGACTCGGGGAGCGAGGACTCGGGGAGCGAGGACTCGGGGAGCGAGGACTCGGGGAGCGAGGACTCGGGGAGCGAGGACTCGGGGAGCGAGGACTCGGGGAGCGGACTCGGGGAGCGAGGACTCGGGGAGCGAGGACTCGGGGAGCGAGGACTAGGGGAGCGAGGACTCGGGAGCGAGGACTCGGGGAGCGAGGACTCGGGAGCGAGACTCGGGGAGCGAGGACTCGGGGAGCGAGGACTCGGGGAGCGAGGACTCGGGGAGCGAGGACTCGGGGAGCGAGGACTCGGGGAGCGAGGACTCGGGGAGCGAGGACTCGGGGAGCGAGGACTCGGGGAAGCGAGGACTCGGGGAGCGAGGACTCGGGGAGCGAGGACTCGGGGAGCGAGGACTCGGGGAGCGAGGACTCGGGGAGCGAGGACTCGGGGAGCGAGGACTCGGGGAGCGAGGACTCGGGGAGCGAGACTCGGGAGCGAGGACCACATGACAGAAACTTTAAAAAACCCAAAGTTCCATGTTACAGACACAGTCAAAAAAATCCTCAAGCTCCCCAACCCATATCAAATTTTTAACCCAGGAGTACTTACCTGCCAGCTTCTGAATTTTACTTACTACCAAACAACTTCATGGGGAAGTAGCACCACCAGGGTTTTCCCATTCTGAGTAGTCACCACCAATGTTACTAGCTCATAGAGCGTCCCAAACTATTTCACAGAGATTGTAGAAAACAGGATGAAAAAGCAGCCTACTTATGAACACTGTTTCCATTTTACGAGGACAGTAGAAAAAGCACCCTAAGTAACCTAAATCTCATACTCCTCTAGAGTGGCAAGTTTTCCCATGCTCCTCATGCTTCCTTTATATCAAATGTCAAATGATCCCCACCTGGCAGATTTCATTTCACATGTGTGGAGTCATGAGACCTTGTGGAATAGGCTCATCAACCTAGGTTTCAATGTTTAAGGTTCAATTGCTCCTTATCGCTAATAGAAATAACCTGGCTTAGTGGTTAGAGTTGACCTAATGAATGAAATACAAAAGGCGCATAAGGCTCATATTTCTGCTAGTCATTCTGTGAGGAAAATTAGTACAGAGCCTGTTAAAATAATCACTGAACTGCAGTGGGAATGGAACCAAAGGGAAACCTTTTCACAGAAACCCCTGGGTTTTAAAGCTGGCATCCACCGTGGCCTGCAAAATATCTTTTATAAGAAGGTGTTTGGATAAGGTTTTTGAATAGTTTATACAGATCCTTGCTTTCCTCTGAGTCAGCAATGTTTTCAGGTCTAAAGAGAGACCTGAATTCCTAATCTCAAGGTTTTTGGAAGGGCTTTCAAGAGTGGCTTGTTTATTTAAAACCCTTTGTCCTTTTCTAAACTTCAGATGCAGGGAAACAATTCTACAGACTTACTGTTTCCTTAAGTGATGGTAACGTAGTAAACAAGGTACTCATTTATTTGGCAATGTGTTACTTTAACACCACGTTGCTTTGAACCATTTTGATACTCTAATTCCTGTCATCTGAAAGGCTTCAGGCAGCCAGAGAGCCAAAACTCTGCATGTTACGTACGGCCCCATAATTTCTAGCAGCTGCTGGCTCAAGGGCTAGGGCTCTGCAGGCAAGTCCAGGTTGGCCTTGCTGGCAGGGCCCCGGGGTACGGTGATGCAACCACTGTGGCTCTGCCCTTAGAAATTACCAGCCCCAAAGCAAACAGAGCTGTTTGGTGTCCTTCTGGTGCTCCAGGCTACCTGCAAAGAGGGATTTGTGTCTGGGCAGCGAGTGGGGCCTTGGGCCGAGATGGACAATAACGCCTCGGGGCCACGGCAGCCTCTGCTCCGCAAAGAGGAGCCTCAGCCCTCTCATTTTGGGGCCTGCCTGTGTGAGGGAGGGAGTCCTGGGCCCCAGGAGGAGCTGCAGATCTGCAAGGATCAGTCCCCAGGAGCCAAAACCTGGAGTTTGGAGCAGCCTCAGCGGCTCTTGCAGTTCTTTTCTGCGAGCGCTTGTTTGGATGGTGGAGTTGGAAACGCTGCTCGTCTGTGCAGGACGGCGTTTGCTCTGTGTTCCTTATTTCAACCCCAAAAGAGCATCGTCAAAGTCTAGAACAAGAAAGACTTTATCTAGCGTTGCACCCACAGGCTTGTGTGGTGTTACTTGCTCTTGCTGTCCAAACCCTTTGAAGTGTTAATGTAGTATGGGTAGGTTTATGGTGTTTAAATTATTAATGCTGCCACAATCATTAAATAAATAAATAAATAATTCAAATAAATAAAAAAACAAAAACAAAAAACAGGAAATTTCAACTGTTAAAAGTTTATATTTAAATATTCTCTTGATTAATACTACTTTGAGGTTGTTTTGCTTACAAATTAATGGTAAGAGAAAAAGATTTTTGGTAGTCACAGTCCAGAATGTTTGTCTGCCAGTGACTGATTTTTTTTGTAGACACTCTTTATATCTCATTTTAAAAACCTGTAGTTCAAAATCTATTTCTTGAGCTTTTCAAGACCATTTAAGTAACTTAATTTTTATTCTTTGTAATAACACTACCTTTTTTCGCTCTGTAAGACTGCATGAGAACTCAGCAAACTATGGCAGGTATGAAGGATCTGCTGTATTTCAGTATTAGTAACACTTGGGTATGTGAGTATGACAGTGCTAAAATGTGCAATTACAGTGTGGGTTCCTTAATTTTTACTCATTGTCTTTGACATTCTGGCCTTCTGGAGATGTTTCACTGTATTCCTTATAATAACAAAGCAGCTGAATTGCAGCTTTAATTGCCAAATTTGACTTTGGCAAAAAAATCAGGCTCCAAGAGAAAGCGAAGTCCTGGCTTGGTTTGTGTGGAGTGCCAGAGCAATGTCCCTCTGGAAGTGAAGGTCTCCAGGGTTGATGTGAAAAAAGGTTGCTGTGCAATGAAATAGCACCAAAAAGGGCTGAGACATTTGGCAAAATGTGAACCATTTGCTGAGGAGAGACTATTCAAAATTACATGTGAAAGAGGAGAAACGGTGGAAGCAAAGGGTAAAAAGGTTATAGTGACGAGAAGGTAGGAATGGTGGCTGAAGCCTGTGAGTCCACCAACAAGGTCAAATGAAGCCTTGGGTTAAGTTTGGCACTTTTCTTTTAAATAAAATTGTTTGCTAATCTGGCCTGAATAGTTTTCATGGCCAGCTTTGTTCTTAAAGAGCTAGATCTCTGTCTGTGGTGGGTAAGAGCGTAAGACCCAACCTTTGTTAAAGAGGTTTGCTCTCAAGTGTGTTGGTGAGCTTGCCAGTGCCCAAGACTGGAGAGCAGAACAATTTCTGGGTGGTTAAATATGATGATTTAGCACTGATGTGAAGCAACGGTAACGTGTCAGGGGCAGCTATGCTGCTACTTAGTCTGCTCTTGTTTTGCACAGATCTCTCCCTGACCTGGCTCTTGGTGGGATGCTAGGGGGGAGGAAGGAGGAAGGGAACCACCCCACAACAGCTGCGTGCTGTGGGTGCACGTGGGGACGGGACGTGGTCCCCCCTTTCCACCAGTGTGGGACCTTGTAATGGTAGCTGTGAAAACAGCCTTCGTCCAGGGTGACACTGCAAGTGCAGTCACACACAAGCTGGGTTAGGAGGTGGAAATGAAGTGTGCAGGATCTGCAGTAGCACCTTGAAGGGTGTAAAAAGATGATGGGGACTTTGGTCAAGGTTCAGCTACTGCTTATGTGGGGCTTTCCCTCTCTGTTTTGGGGCAGTTCCTTTTACAGTCAAATGCACATTCCTTCAAAGCCCCTTGGACTTGATAATTCTTCTTTCTCCACATGACAAAGAAGGTGGATTTACTCTGAAGAAATATTTCCAATTGGCAAATGGCAGCCATTTAGAAAATTCTTCCTATATTCTTCTGTTTCAACGTTTTTTTCTCTTTTCTTTCATAGACACGGATGAAGACACAGTGAAAAGGTGTTTTGCCACGTTTGAAGAGAAGTTCTTCCAAACCTGCGAGAAAGAACTTGCCAAAATCAACATTTTCTATTCAGGTAAAGTACTTATTTGTGTGTATTTGTGGAAAATACGGCAACACAAAAGGAGTCTGAAGCTCCCAGACTTTCAGAATAGCCACAGTGTTCACGAAGGTCTACCATCAGGTAATTACAGGGCATGTTTATATGGGAGACTGCTCCGGTTTAATCACAGATGTGGAACTAAAACCATGGTTTTTGAATGGAGGAAGAATGAAGGGCAGGCAATTTCATTGCTTTGTAATAGCATCCTGCTGAACTTTGAAGATGCTCTTAAATTTAAGTGGCAGCTTACATATAGGGCACAGTTTCTCAGCTTACCCATGGTGGCAGTCTACTGTGCTTGTTTTAGGCATAAGTGCAAAGCTCCCTAGATGGTGTTCTCGGGGCTTTTGCTGGACGAGCTATCCTGGACTTGCTTATGTATGGTCACTTGTCTGTCTTGATGCGTTCAACAGGTTTTTAGGCACTTAACTCTTACTTTTGCAGCTTTTCAGACTGGATCAGCCAGTAGCAATTCGTCACTGGCTGTATATACAATCCTGTTCACTAAATTTGAGTAAAAATGTAAGGGTGGTTGGAGCAGGGGTTCCTAGGGTTCATATTTCAAAGTGCTGTTTGTTTTCCCACCCTGTGTTTTGAAAACAAACTTCAGAATGGAATAATCAGAAATTTGCCCTGTAATATTGCTACAAAAGGCTTTGTAATAGTGTGTCCTAGTTTCACCCACCATTACATTTGAGCTCGTTTATGGCCTCTTTTGGTAAGGTTTAAAAAGGGTTTTCAGCTGGAAAACAGTTTAAATATGGATACAGGGATGTACTGACTGCTGCCATGCTTCTCTTAATGTGTTCTTGATTTATTAACATCTTGCAATAAACAGGCTTTTGCAGCACTCCATAGTAGCCTTTTTCTATTTTTGATTTCAGTCTGGTAACAAAGAAAAAGTCAAAGCGTGCAAAAATACTTTAATAACTATCAGGCAATGACTTTGTCGCTAGCAGAGTCTGGGTGGTGAAGATGAGAAGAGCTGAAAGCACAATAGATGTAGTGAGGGTACGCTGCAACTTGCCTCTGTTCGGCTTCCATGTAGGGAAGCGAATCTCCCTGGGGCAGGCTATGCCAGCTCTCCCGGCTCTGTGGCAGTGCTGTTTTGCTCTAGCCATAGTGGGCGCAAGGAACAAGGCAAGGGGAGATTTGGAGGCAGAAGCAGTGTGTTCTGTTGGGCCTGCTCTACTCTTTAGCCCATAGGCATTTTTCTGCATACAGTTCATCTATACCTAACCACACTCAGAACAGTTCTCAATTTTGTTTTACCTTGAGATCTTCTGCAACTGGGTGCAGGAAGTTCTTCAATTCACCTGCACAATGCAGGTGATAATTTTCGATAATGAAGCACGTACACACCCACGTATCCACACCCCTTCCCATATTGTATAAAATGCCACTCAGGATACAAGGAAGGTTTTTTTTTCAATTTGCTGTCATTTCAAAAACATACAGGAGAGAACACATGCAATTTGAAAATCGCTTGTGATGAGAATTAAATGAGTCTTTTATTTGCAGAAGAGCAATGTGACCTTAACAGTATGGAAACCCTTTATTCGGCTTACTAACATTAAGCTACCCAGAAGAACCACTGAAGACACATTTCTTGCCTTGCTCGTGTCTGAAATATGTCAAGTCAGACCCTGCTGTAACTCCAGGCAGGCGGTGGCTTGCATTATGGCCTGGTTCGTGCTATTTATTATAGGCTTATTATATGGTTTATTATACATTTGTCTTTACAACAATAAATATTGTCCACTTGCATGAAAGCTAATCCTTCTGCTGATCTCTGTTTTATTTCCTCGTCTCCTTTTCCTGTCCTGAGGGCTCCTCAATGAGCCCTGCCTGCTGCAGGATGCCTGTGCCTTTCGCTCTGTGCTCAAACATTGTCGGCTCGCATCAAACGTAGCCTGAATTCCCCAGGCCATTATTCTGGCTTTGTAGGAAGGAAAACTGCCATTAAATAAATCTGATTTGATAAACAGTTTGTGATTATTTGGACTGCTCTCAAGTAAACTTACACACACTTGAAAGAGGAGAAAAAAAACACACTAGTAGTAACATTTTCAGACAGTTCCAGCAGAGGAGCGCCTGTTCAAGAGCTAAGATTTCTTTTGTGGCCAGTTTTGGTTTGTTTGGGATTCTCTAGAGAGGAAGTTTGTTATCATTTAAATTGGTATAATCAGATTCTGCTTGTGCTGCTGTTCAGTTAGTAACATTTTAGTGTTAACTCGGGAGCTCCTTTTATCATTGGTAGGAAGCTGTGGCTTTAACTTGGTAAAGAAAATATTGAACGTGATACGTACAAGTAGAGAAAAGGAGGAGGTCTAAGAGCACGTGCCTAAAATGCACAGAGCAGCTGTGGGCAGGTATGGGTTATTAGATCGCCTGTTGAAACAGTTTTTGAGCACTGCCGTGACCATGCAGATGACCGTTTTTCCAAACTGGCACTTGGGGAGCAGCTTGATGTTACCTTTTTTTTTGTGATCCTTATCTTTAAGCTTGGAAAATAGTCCAAAGCATCAGGGAATTGCATGGACAAGGTCGTAACTCTTCAGTATTCTTTGATCAGGATCTGGGAGTACCTTTGGGGAGAAAGCTGCATTTTTACTGCAAGTCTTTTTGTTGAAGTCTGCCGCTGTTGATTTGGGGTTTTTCCTTAGTCTTTGCCTTGAGATTACACTTGAGCTGCGCACTCTGTGGTCATCAGGTCGTGCAGAGTGCTGCAAAACAAGAGTGGTTCCAGTTTCTAAGTGTTTGCTGCTTTTTTTCTCTAACACTTTTGATGGCATCCTTTCTTTTTTTTAAAAAAAGTCACTTTTCAGAGTGCTCAATTAGTGATAGCAGTGAATATCCTTTCAAATAGTTTGGAATACATTGCAAATTGAGAAATTCAGTTCTACTCTGCGTTGTGGTTTCCCTAGGCAACTCCCCGGGAGGTTTTAAGAATACCAGCACATTGTTTCTTATTTTTGCATCTGCAGTGACTCGGTAATAAAATCATTCCGTAACGAGATGAACTGATTTGCGGGCTGGATAACTGGAGTCAATGCAGGAGACGGGGCAGGGCTGCCATCCTCCAGGAGCAGCAGGTCATTACCAGGCTGCTTCAGTTGTCTTTAAAAACCCATCCGCAGGGAACCGTGGGCTGCCTGTACCAATGGAGAGAGCCGTCTGGAAGGCAGGACGTGACTCTGCTCAGCAGCAACCTGATTTAGCTCGAATATTAGGCCAGCTTTGAGTAGGAGGTTGAATTAAAAGACTTGCAATGGTTCTTCCAAGCCACATTTTTGGATGATTAAGAGTGTTTATATTGGAGATGATGCTATTTAATGGATGCTGGTTTGCAAACAGATAGGAAAATTGCAGTAGTTTTCTCACTATTTCAAAAACATTATCTTTTTTTTTTTTTTTTTTAATACCATGTTATTAGACTCTTGGATTTTAAGATTTTTCTGGACATAGGGACAATGGAACATGTGCTTTCAGTTGAAAGATGTAAGTTTGAACCCTTGCATATTTAATAATTTGATCCAAAGGAAATCTCAGTGTGTCACAGATGGTTTAATGTAACATTTTGAATATACAGAGAGTGAACTTGTGAGTGTTATTTATACGAAGGCTTTTGATTCTAACAGATCCTCCAGCAGACATCTCTTACTTCTTCCAAAGAGAGCTCCTGAAGGGGGGAGGGAGTGGTTTTTTGGCAACCCGACCTCATGTGTGTTAAATATTGTGTGGCTGTGGACAGACACATCACACAGTGGGCTATGTCATCTCCATTCAGTGGAGCCCTTGCAGCTGTGGAAGTTGTCAGAAAGGAGTTTTCATTCCCTGTGCTTTTAAAACCTCTTACTGAGTTTACAATCAATAAAGTTACGGAGACTTTCAGGCTCTTCCATACCTGATTTTCCTATATTGATCTCCCTTTTCTGTTCCAAAGGGTTTTTTTGCTGGATGGATATTACCTTGTATGGGGAGGACGAATTGATAATTGCCATGAAGTTGTTCTATGAGCTGTTCTCTAACGAAGGGAATTAAATTGGCAAGCAGGAGCCTGCCAGGCAGAGCTTTGGGCTGTGGATGGGTCGGTGCAGCTGGCTCCAGCTCCCAGCTCTCTGCTGCTGCCCTGCGAAGCTGCTCGGCATCTTCGTGGCCAGCGCCAGCTTTGGTGTGGTGCTCATCAGCACACACCACGGCTGGTGCTGAGGCTGCAGCAGGAATAAAGCCTGGAAGGAGCCAGATGTACAGAACACAAAGAAAGGAGCACTCAGAGCCAGGCTGGATGGGGCTTTGGGCTGGTGGGAGGTGTCCCTGCCCAGGGCAGGGGGCTGGAACTGGGTGGGCTTCAAGGTCCCTTCCAACCCAACCCATTCTGTGATTCATCATGAATAATGTCAGCTGTGCTGCTTGTAACATACAAAGATTGTTGAGCACAGAGGATTATTTTCTAAAGGTAGGTAAAGCAGCATGTTAAAGGAATCCCTTTTTCATACTTGAGATGAGGAAGAGGACTTCCCCTTCATGAAAGCACATTCAGAGGGTCGTTAAATTCAGCTTAGCTGGCCCTTTAATCACTAACTAATGAGACGGGGCTTCTAACCAGTGTGATCCGAAATTGAGGGAAAGGGGGATAAATGGTTACTGCAGATTGTGGACAGATGCTGGCGGTGTTGTAGCTGCTGATCAAAGCAGAAGCGGTGCTCGTCACTGGGAGCTTGCCAGAAGGCTTGCGTTGCTCTCCAAAATCCAGCCATTCATGTGAAGTGTGTCTCTTCTTCAATTCCTTTGCTGTCATATAAAATGATAGCAACCACATGGTTGGTAGTGAGCAAGCAGATTCTAAAACGTCCTTTGTGGGGCCGAGAAGCGCTGCTTTATGGCCTCTGCTTTATGGGGTGGCTGCACAGATCCTGTGTGCAGCAGCTGCCCGGGTTGGGTGTCAGTAAGGGGTGTCCAGAAAGCCCAGGAGTGAGCATCACGCAGCGATGAAGGGATTGGAGTTCATGGCCATTGCTGCTTCAGCCTGTACTGCAGGGACAGCCCCTTGATTTTGACTAAATTAATCAAGACCTGTCTGACGTGAAGGCTTCTTTATTTTTCCGGAGAGCGTATGTTATACATAAGAGTGCACTAAAATCTTTAATGAGAAGGAACTTCATAAAAAGAGAAATATGGAGAGCTGCTGAGTTTAATGCTCAGTGGGTAAGGCCATGCAATAGGTTATTGTATGCAGTGATTTTTACCGACAGGCGTGTTATGTGAGGAGAAGGTATAGTGCTGTTCACAGGCTTGATAAGAAGGTGCTACCACTCACCTGCCTCTTCCTCCCTGTGCTAACAGAAAAGCTTGCAGAAGCTCAGCGCAGGTTCACTACCCTTCGGACGGAGCTGCAGTCAACTTTGGACGCACAGAAAGAAGCCAGCGGGGCTTCCACGCAGCAGCGGCGCAAAAAGCCGGTCTTCCACCTGTCCCACGAGGAGCGTGTCCAGCATAGGAATATCAAAGACCTGAAATTGGCCTTCAGCGAGCTCTACCTCAGCCTCATCTTACTGCAGAACTATCAGGTACCCACCAGAGGAGGTGCTTTGACAGAGCCCTGTGTGTGTGTGTGTCTCTGTGCTTGCATTGCCTTCACTCGCCTCATTCAAGTCAGTTTTTGGTTTCATTTTGGCTCTGGGGTCACTAGACAATGTCAAAGAAAGGGCAAATCCCTAGCAGCCAACAACATAATCCTTGTTGTGTTTTGTTGAGCTGGAAATGCTCAGCTCACCTGCAGAAGGACCTTTGATTCTCATCCTTTTCTGGGCTGTCCAAGCCCAGCACCCTTGGCACGAGCCTGGTGACAACGCGAAGTCACTGCAGTCACACCGGGGCCACCTCCTTCTGCAGTGCGTTGTTCTGTGCGGGGCCAGGGCTGGGAAGCTGGGGAAGAAGCTCTTTTATCTCATATTTGTAATGGAACTTGAAATGCTAGCGTACTGTTTCCTCTTGGAGTTACCATGGTAGTAACTCTGACCTTTTAGATCAGAATTTCTTGTTAAAACATCCATTTAAAATAATAAATGTTTTTAGTTCTGAAGAATACGGGCTCATATGCCTGGAAAGAAGTATGAGGAAACAAATCTTTAGTTGTACTTGGATTTCTAGCAGGGAAGGGCATGATAAATATTGCAGATGATGATTTTGTTCCAAAAATTTGAAACCTTTGATCGCTTTTTGCTAGACTCACTCTGCTCATAAATATCTGATTGTGTTTATTTGTTTTGGCTTGTTAATTCTTTAATTCTTTAACTTAAATTTGCTAGAGCTATATTTGGGTCTTTACCAGCATCGGCAATTGCACTGGGAAATTTTACTAAACTAAATTCGCTGTAAGAAATACTTGAATACCACTCTGCAGTATGGACAAAGCTTGATTCTTCCAAAATTCCCAGTGTTAGTACCTCTCCTAAAAATGATGCTGTGTCACCGAGCACTTGTGTATATGCTGCCAACACTCACTCCAGATACCTCAACTGGAATTTCCTAGGTTTAATACCGGGTTTCCAGCTTGGAACATCTTTGTCCAGCTTGCACTAGGACAAGCCTTAAAGGAGAGGTCTCAGGGAAGTGCTGGGACCATCTTTTACAGACATGATGACTGCTTGTTGTCATGGGGTGAGCAGACATCCCTCCACGACTCCTGGGCACGGATTTACAGTTGCTGAAGCTCTCTGTGGGTCTCTTAATAAAGCCCTGGAACAGTTAGAGACGGCTTCTAGTTCGAGATCAAAGGCAGAGTACCCTTAGCTTTTCAGGAATGGAACAAAGCAACACTGACTGCTGTGATTTCTTCATTTCTTTAAAAAAGCTCTTACTTCTGGTTACAAAAAATCACTTCTGAGGCTTGATGAATTTAAATAGAGGATGACATAGGTCATTCCTCTGGAAAATCTTCTCCTACGCTACATTGACAAAAAAGGCATCCTTCCCACTCATGTTTTTACCTTTTCCCACCATGGGTCCAGGAGCACTGTATATATGCTAAAAATTGATGTGAAAACCATCTGGATTTGATCATTCTCAGTTTCCAAAGGGACGGAGCTGCTCTCTACAGTGTATCTTCAAAGAGAGAATAAGAAAATTAGTTCAGATTGGTATTGAAGTTGAGGACAAGGAGTACATGTACTAAAACAAGCATAAAGCCAAATCCCCAAATACTCATTTTAATCACTTTGAGCTTAGAATATAAGAGTTAGAAATATTCGAGGCCTTGCAGTTTCAGAGAGGGAAAACAATAACCTGGTGGGAAGATGACATAGCTGAGGCCTTCAAGTAGGGGATCAAGTGAGGTCACCAGGGGCGTTATAGATACCCAGCCGTGGCTTTGACAAAATGCTGAAGGCTGGCATTGGGTTACCGAGGAAAGAAAACCCACGTGGAGCAAATTCCTCAGTCCGTTCGCACTGAAGCAAGAGGAGAAGTTGCACACATTGATTCGTAAGGTGCACAAAGCAAACTTGAAGTGAAACTATAACTTTGGGCCAGCTGGTACTTCTGAAAACTACCCATGATTAAATTTCCATTAAAAGTAATTTATTAGCCGTAATTTAGAACTTTAGAGTATGTTCACCTATTAAAATGAAATACTGTGTTTCAGAACAAACAAATCTTGAGAAATTAATTCATGGGGCAAATAATGGGGGCTGATTCACTCTTACCATGCCATGTGTTTGCCTTGCTGGTGCATTTAACCAATGCACTTGTATACGAGCAAAGACGTTGAGGCTGCTGTTTCATCCTACTTGATGTTGCGTAACATTATTTGCACTGTTTTTTTCACCTTTAATGGCAAAGCATGTCACTAGCCAATTCGCTTCCACGGATTCAATTAGCCACCTTCCGAAATGGAAGTCAGGCCTGGAGAAGGCCCCTTGCCAAATAGAAGTGTACTAAATAGCAAGAAGTGCAAGACTCGTGGCTGCATAGATGGCACTTGGCTGTTCTTGTTCGGTGTCATCGCTGCGCTGCCATCGTAGCCCGCGGTGTTTTTGTCATGCCATGGGGGTGGCAGGATTTGTGGGCTCTGCTAATGTCATCACAAAGCCATATCAGTTCAGGCTGTGGAGCAGTCTCGGACCCAAACCAGCATTTTGTTGCATCTTACCCATTTCCAATTTATGAAATAGTGATCTGCTCTCCCTGGGGTGGGATGCTGGCTTTTCCGATAGAAAGTAATTAAAGTCTCTTGTCTGCAATAATGCAGATCACTAATGCATTGGCTTCCTGCTCCCATCTCCCTAGCCTCATTTCCCCACCTATATGGCAGGGGTCTGGTATTAAATCACTCTGAGCATAATTAGATTGAAAATAATTTCAGCGAGTAGTTGGCGCCTCTCCCCGGGGTATTGGATTCTGCGATTTTCTGTTTTTCTTTCCAAGCTACTTTCTAAGCTGTTTTTTTTTGAAATGACTCTTGCCATGGTCTGTCCGTGTTCCTGCTGGTGCCCGAAGGAAACACAGAGCCTTTCGAGAGGTGTTTTCTGTGCAATGAAACACAGGATTTCAAACGCATCTCATCACAGCAATCGCCTGCTTTTAATGCAGCGTGGTGAGCTCTGCCTATCTTTGTTACTGCCCATGACAAGAGCCTTGGGTCAGGGCTCGTATATAACTTGGAAATGAAGTTATGCAACATACGTACTCTTTCTGCAGCTTTCTGTTTTTAAGAGCTCATTACTGCTCATGCAGAGACCAGGTGTAGTGCATGTGGGATATAAGCAGTCTGGTACCCATGCAGAGAGAGCATTATCCTTTACAAAGGATACATAACTTCCTAATAAAGTGGTAACACAAAAATCTTCCTGACCATAGATGCAAGAATTTTGATTCTTATTCCTTGCTAGCGCTGGCATGTAGCCACCTAACTTTCTTCTGATCTGACTGAGGCTAACAGCCAGTAACTGTTCCCCTTGCCTGCAGAACCTGAACTTCACAGGCTTCCGCAAGATCTTGAAGAAACATGACAAGAACCTGGAGACGACACGAGGGGCGGAGTGGCGGGTGGCCGAGGTGGAGGTGGCCCCCTTCTACACCTGCAAGAAAATCAACCAGCTGATCTCCGAAACAGAGGTAAAGATGCTGCTCTGTGCACTGCAGCTTTTGTAACTAGAAAACAACGTCTTCTTCTTCACTATTGCTCCCCACAAGGTCTGCCTGTAGCCTGTATTCACCACCAAGGCAACTGTTGGTTGATTTTAAAGTGCCACTGATTTCTGGCATTGCTTGCATGAATTTGTGTATGTTGTCTTGTCGTGGTTCCACTCGAGTGGGCAGCTCCTTCTTGGTCACTTTCGTCCCCTGTGCTGTGGGGTCCCTCCCACGGGATGCAGTCCTTGATGAACTGATCTGGCATGGGCTTCCCACAGGCAGCAGCTCTTCCAGAACTGCTCCAGATATGGGTCCGTACCACGGGGTCCATCCCTCAGGAGCAAACTGCTCCAACCTGGCTCCCCTACGGGCAGCAGCTCCTGCCAGGTCACCTGCTCCTGTGTGGTCTCCTCCACGGGCTGCAGCGTGGAACCCTGCTCCACCGTGGTACTCCATGGGCTGCAGGGGGACATCCTGCTTCACCATGGGCCTCACCACAGGCCGCAGGGGACTTCTGCTCCGGCGCCTGGAGCACCTCTCCCCCTCCTTCTTCACTGACCTTGGCGCCTGCAAGGCTGTTTCTCACTCCTCTCACTCTCCCGGCTGCTGTGTGGTGCAGCGTTTTTTTCCCTGTCTTAAATATGCTCTCACAGAGGCGCAAAAACAACATCGCTTATTGGCTCAGCTCTGGAACAGTGGGGCCCTTACCAAACATGGGGCAGCTTCTAGATCCTTCTCACAGAAACCACCGCTATGGCCCCCTGCTACCAAAACCTTGCCACGTAAACCCACTACATGTCTTCAGCTGGTAAATTTTCACTCTGAAAAGCTAAGACAGTGTTAGCTTATATCATATAATAATAACTCGATGCGTTATGGTAAACTTTTCATATCTTTGTTACAGTACATTGGAATAACATGGGGTGAGGGCTCAAATGTAACTTGGAAATTGACTTATTTTTTGTTTTAATGCAGTATCAGGTGTTTAGCATTAGCATGACCTTCTGCGATGTGTGTCTTTATCTCCTTAGGAAGTGGTGACCAACGAGTTAGAAGATGGGGACAGACAGAAGGCTATGAAACGTCTGCGTGTTCCACCTTTGGGAGCAGCTCAGGTGAGCCAGTTATATAGCTAAGCTGCTTCTGTGACTTGTCGAGGTGCCAAATTAGATTCGCATTGGAACAAAGTGGTGAAAACACATGGATATGAGCATGCTCCACAGATTGCAAGGAGGAGCATGGTCACGTAATCTGCTTTAGTTCTGGAAAATACAGAAATAATTTTTCCTAATGCATGCAGGCAAGGTAATGAATGGATGAGATGAATAATAAAGGGAAATTTGTGCTACTAATAACGTATGCTCAGTGTTTTTGTGGTCTGGAACATTTTTTGAGAACCATTGAGATGCCCAAGCTCTGTTTCAACACGGCATGGCATCAAGATAGGCAAAAATATTACGCAGCCTTTTCAGTGCTGCACTTCACAGAGAAAGAGTGCAGTCAGAGATGATTATTGTATCCCTGATTTTAAATTTACTCTGCAAATGAATCTAATTTTGCAGATAAACCTGTTCAATCCCCTTTAACTCCACCATTGCTTTGTTCACAGCCTGTACCAGCCTGGACTACATTCAGGGTTGGATTGTTCTGTGGATTGTTCATTGCACTGAACGTGACTGTCATACTTTCAGGTGGGTATCCTCAGCAGGAACCATCTGGCTCCAAAGCCCCAGTGTGGATACGTTCTTGTCACTTAGTGGGGACCTGGATCTGAGCTGGGTGGTCAGCATGTTCTGGGTTAAATCACTTGGAGTCAGAGCACACTGCTGTGAATTGTTAGGGCTGCATAGGTTATGTCTTTCTGACGTTACTTACCTGGATTTTGGACTTGGAATGTATTGTGATCTGTTTTCCTTGTTTCCTCCTTACTCGTGGAGGGATATTCTGGAAGTGCAAAATCAATGTCTAAAGACTTGGGTTACTGTTCTGTGAGCACACAGTCCTCTCCCGCCTTGAGAGGTGTTTGTAGAGCTTAACTTTTGCATAGGTTTTGCACTGGTTCCTTACAGAGAATGAGAACTGACATATAGCGATGTGAACACCTTGCCACTCGGGACATTTTCATCATGACACGTGGGAGTGGCACAAAGCTGTGCCAGGGAAGACTCAGACTGGACATTAGGGAAAAATGTCTTTACCATGAGGGTGGGCAAACACTGGAACAGGCTTCTTAGCAATGCCCCAAGCCTGTCAGTGTTCAGGACACATTTGGTTAATGCTTTAACTTTTGGTTAGCCCTGAAGTGGTCAGGCAGTTGGACTTGATCTTTTTAGGTCCCTTCCAGCTGAGCTATTTTATTCTGTTCTATTCTGTGTAGAAAGTTGTGGGATTTCAATGCCTGGTGCTTATTAATGGAATTAATTGAATCTTTCTTGTTGGCAGATTTTGGCAAGGTTGTTTAAAAGCTAGAATAAATTATCACGTATCTCAGACCTTGGTTTTATTCTGTTTTGCTCCTTCTGAGTTCGAACTTTCATTAGAGTAAAAGCTATGTTGGTACTCGAGATCCAGATACACTCCTTCATCACAAGCAGCTTTACTAATTGTGTGTGTGATTTCACTAGCCTTGTACCTTGTTCAAGCAGTGCAAAGGAAAATCAACATATAAACTCTTGCATTAGGGAAGCCCATGTCTGTGCTTTGTTTTAAAAGAATAATTAAATATTTATAAAAAATATAATCAGATATTTCTGTAATTGGATCCAGCCTCCTGGGATAAAACTTATCTGTTTTTTGCTGTTTGCAAATACTTCCCTTTTGGTCTTTCTGTGGTAGAGGCAGAAAGTTGACCCGTCTGTGTGAAGGGTCCACTGAATGTGTAGAAGCTGTTCTTTATGCATCATATCTTTTGTTTGTGTAACTTGCATGTTTGATCTCTGTGAGGTGCAAATAGGACTGAAGCCTGATATGTTCATTTTATCGCAGTAGTAAGAATGAAAAAGTGATACAGTTGTGAGAATGAATTCATAGAAATGATTAAACCTCTAAAGCAGATCTTACAAACTAGTGGAATAATTGGTATGTTTGTATCAGCAGACATGATCTGATATCTATAAGTTACTGCAGATACTGGGCAAAAACTGTATTCTAACTACAAATTTTGTTTTAAATTGGATATTTGCTAACCTCTATGCTACTTTTGCCAATTTGTTTTTATGATTTGATTGACTAAAGTAGGGTCTTAGAGTTGTATGTGTAGAATCTGTAAAACAGCATTAGAACATGACCATGAGTAGTAAACCGTATCAGCAGTGCCTGAGCTTTAGGCTGGACATTAGGAAGGATTTCTTCACATAGAAGGTGGCCAAGCACTGGAGCGTGGTGGAATCCCCATCCCTGGAGGTACTGAAGAGACGTGAGGATGTGGCACTGAGGGACGGGGGTCACTGGTGGGACTCAGTAGGTTGATGGTTGGACTTGATGGTCTTGAAGGTCATTCCCAACCTAGATGGTTTTATGATTCTGTGATTTTGAAAGTAGAACAGCAACATTTTATAGAGATGAGTTGACAGTCACCTGGGATCCATTGAAGGCTGCAGCTGCTGCAGGTGGATCCCAGGGAAGTGTCTCCCTCAAGCATAAATCTCACTATTTCTGTATCAGCCTCACTGTTCTGTTTCTGTATCAGCCTTGGTTTCTGCCTCACTGTTTCTTTATCAGCTTTACTAGCTGCCAATTTAATGTGTAATTGGGGTTGAAAGGCCGCGGAAATAAGTGTATGTTTTATTAATCAGAAACCTACAAGACTGCACACAAAATCTGAAGACAATTACTGCTCGTGCTGCAGCAGTGCTCTGTCTCTGGTTTGGGAAGGAGCACGGTGGCAGGGCGAGCTTTGAGCTGGAAGAACGTGGCTGTGCCGTGGCATTCGCGTGACTGAGTGTAAAATCTCTCCGTGACAGTAATGACTGCATCAGGGAAGTGGTGTGGGTCTTTGTCATCGGGCACTCACGGTCTTAGGGTACTCACGTGGAGGACACTTGGCCTTAGTTAGGTGAGTAATCTTGTTCGAATGTTGTAAAAGGAATGCGCAGAGATATATTAAAACACATTTGAGGCAAGACGAGAGCCTGCACGGTTTGGTTGTGGTGGTGTTGGGGTTGTCACCAGGGAGATCTTCCTCTGAACACCTCGTGAGGAGCCCGCATCTGCTGCTTGGTGTCAGTTACTGAAGGGGCGAGTTAATCCAGTGTCACGTACCTGCTGACGTGGGGAAGCGACTTGGTGTGCAGTGTTGGATTTAAGTGGAAACTAGAGATAAATGGAAAATCTCCCTGCCTCGGGGTTGGGTACAGACCTCAGGGCTGTGTGATGGGTTATGTCGGAGCTGTGGTCTGAATCTGCTCCTGTATCAGCACAGCTTCTCCCGAGGGAAAGCGTGCTGATGAGAGGCCAGGAATGCAGAGCTAAAGCCTCCCAGGGATGGGGTGGGAGGTAGCTGCAAAGCAGGACAGTTTCCCCCAGTTCTTCTGCTTCCCTCAGGCCAGATCCCTTCCTTTATTTGCCTAAGCAGAAATGTCTGTAAACTCAAATACGAAATTAAAAAAGGAAAAAGTCTGAATTTTCAGACGTGGTTGAAAAATGTTTCATAACTGCACCTCAGCTCTGTTCTCCACTGATGTGCCTGCTACCAGACATTGTGTTTTTCCACCCTCAGTCTGACTAGCTCAAGCTACACAGAAGGTGATGCAGGAGGAGGAGGTGTGATTCTGCACCCTGAGATGCTGGGGAATGCTTTCGGTTCTCATGGCACTCAAGATGGTTCCTCCCACCCAGACTGGCCCCTTGTGGTTACTTCTTTCGGCTGATAGCTGGCCTAAACGTGTCCGTGCTGCGCCAGTTTGAGGCCTTGTGAGGCTTTGCTGGACAAAGCCCACAAAAGCCGTGCAAGCTGGTCCTTGAGCTTCTCCTGCCAGACCATGTAGCTGTGGTGAAGAACATGGTTAAATGAGGAGATGTGAGAAGGGAATGACATCTAGACCTTACACTGGGGAAGCTGTGCTAGGTTGGGCCTTGGTTTCGGAGGAGGGAGTACACAGAAATACTCACAGCATCTGTATTTCCACAGCTCAGCTCAATGCATCGTTCCATATCTGCTTTTTCTCCAGAATCAGCTACAGTTAGGATCCTCTGCCACCCTGGGAGTAAAGAAACAAGATTAGTGGCATTGGCTGTGGAGAGCACATGCTATATTGTTGTGTTGAAGTGTGCTCACCACAGGATAAGCCTTTGTCTTGCTGTTCTGTCTCAGATAGCACAGCGTGTCTGTTCTGGTCTCTCTGGGAACTTTTGCACTTCTTATTCAGTATTTTAGGGCTGCTGTGTCCTGTTTGTAAGCAACCGGAGGCATTTCAGATGTGCTTTTGTAATTCTGTACTTAAGCCTCATTTCTTTCAGCTTCTGCATGTCTGTCATTTCTGTCCAAACTTTGACTTTTCTGCCTGAATCCAATACTCTCTTCAGGTTATAAATTTAAAGCAACTGTTCGTCAGTCATTGTTCCTTGCACGATTTTCCTCCATAATTTGATGTGATAGAAAGTACAAGTGAAGTGTCTTACAGATACGCTTTCTGTGAAGAGAAGTTTGAAAAACTAGGGGCTGTAATTCAGGCAGGAGGGTTGTGAAAATAAATTCTCAGCATCAATTCTGTAAAAGTGCCTGTTCTTTTCTGCTTTTAAAAGGCATATGGATGAGGCATGCTCAGTGAAAGCAAAACAGAGGGTTTGAACACTTGTATTTCAGCTGTGCTTTTCTCATAAAACTCAGATCAGGCAATGGAGGGACTGTATTTTGCAAAGGGGCTTGTGCTAGAAAAGCTGCTGGTTTAGAGTGCAGCTGCTCATTGTTTGAAATTAAGCAAATCTGTTTTCAGAACCCTGTAGACCGAACAAAGGAAGAAACAGACTTCCCATATTGTTGCCTTGCGTTGGATATTCTGTTTGGGTGCGGCTGGAAATTATATTGCTGGCTATGAATATGTGTTACATTACAGTTGTATGGACTTGGGTGATCAGGCGCAGTTTAGCATTGTTTTAAATGCTGTAAATTGTACTTCTTGGTTTTGTGGGGAGCTGAAGTATTTGTATCTCGGTCTGTTGAGATTTCTTCTCCATTAAATCAGAACTTTTAAGTGAATATAGAGATGATTTATGCTAGTGCTGTCCCTTGTGCCTGTAGTGTGAGACAGGGGACTTGAGATGCTGTTAATGACCTGACTGCAGAAGCTGGAGAGCAATTTTTCCCCAGAATAGTCATAAATCCTCTGACAGATGAGGCAAAAAGTCCTCCAGCTGCTGTATGAGTTACAAGTGTACCCTGTTTCCATGGGCTGGAGCTGAGTGTCTGAGAACCAGCAGGAGGAAGTGGAGCACAGGTTTGATTTGTGGCATGCCTTGTGCTATCATTATGGCTGTTTCATCTTTTCCTTTGTCAGGTGTGGCTTTTATAGAAGGACCAAATGTGTGGCCACTGGTGAGAATCTATCGAGGTGGCTTTCTCCTGATAGAATTCCTCTTTCTCCTGGGTATCAACACGTACGGCTGGAGACAGGCTGGAGTGAATCATGTCCTCATCTTTGAACTCAATCCCCGCAGCAACTTGTCCCATCAACATCTCTTTGAGGTAAACAGAGCAGGTTGTTAGGAGTGGCTGAGCTGTGCGTATCAGGAGGATAAATCCTGCACCATTTCCTGGCAAGGAATTGTAACACAATTAGAAGAGGAAGTTGCTGAAGTCTGATTAGATTACAGGATTGAGCACTGCTCTCCCTTTTCTTATAATGAGAGCTCATTGTAGGATTTGGAGTTGTTTTTTTCACAAGGTATCTGCATTTTTTTCTGTCTTTCTGTAGATTGCTGGATTCCTGGGGGTTTTGTGGTGCCTGAGCCTGCTGGCATGTATATATGGTAAATTCACCTACATCCCTATGCAGGTGAATCCACTCATCTTGTACGGCTTCATGTTGCTTTTTCTCATCAACCCTACCAAAACCTTATATTACAAGTCCCGTTTTTGGCTGCTCAAACTATTGGTAAGTCTGAAATCTGATTTTAAAATAAATAAATAAGAGATAAAAAGCTGTAGCTGAGCTGTAGCAGTTGAAATATATACAAACATCACTAATCTTCAGGAAAGAGGAGTGGTATGCCTTTGTACGTGTGTATTCGTAGAGCAGACCTGATAAGGTATTGACCTGCAAGGATGGCGTTACTGAAACAACTTCTGCTTGTCCCTACAAGTGTATTATTATCTTACGTTGCAGGTAGTTGCTTGTAATCTTCACATATGCAGCTGCATACAGCTTTGTCCCTTAATGCAGCAGAACGGTTTGGTTAGGGTTGCAGGGCCCTAAGGAACAGCTGCACGGGTGCTTCTCAGCCCCAAATGGGAGAGTGCCAACCAAGAGAGGTTCACTGGTGGAGAGGAAACCTTTGCAAAGGTTGCTGCTTCTCAAATTATGTTCACAGGTTGTTTTTTTTTCAGCAAATCTGTTGTGGTCTTAAACAAAATTACTCATTTAGGACCCAGCTTCCCTTTTCCTGGCAAATCAAATGTAAATATGCGTGCTGTATCTATGTTCCAGTTGTAGGTGGGAATCCAAAAGAACAGCTTTCAAACTTGTTGGATGGCTCTTCAGTTTCTTCAAAAACAGTTGTTTCATGTGTTCGTCCCAACCCTGAATGTCCTTTTAAATTAACTTCCATCAGTTTGGTTCCCTCAATACCTCATTCTTGCTAGAACTACCCCGAGAGCATCCAGCAGAAGAGAGTTGGGCTGGCTGACGTTATCCGTAGAATCATTTTAATGCCAATTAAGACGATTAACTTTATCTGGAACATGACAGAGATGAAATGTAGAGTCACGTTTCAAGCGTGTGCTTGCATTTCTACACACACCTAGTTAACCTCTGTGCGCTTACCTCTGCTATTCGATTTGCTCGGTTTCTACTGTGTCAGTTTCTCCCTTTTTGCCTTCCAGCGTTCAGCCACCTCTCACGGATGTACCTTTTAGTCCCAAGCCTCATTAGTCTTACTGCTGTCCCTTGGTGTTAGGGGAAGTACCGGCAGCGGTCTAACTGTGTGAGCAATATCTGTGCTAATTTACCTTAATATCTTAACAGGGTGAGATTCTCAGTCTTCACAGAGCTTCACAGCACCTTCCCAGTACCTGCTCTCTCCAGACTATGCAGCAGTGTGCAGCACAGACGTGTCTTTAATGTGCAGAGGCCAATTCATCCCGAGGCTTCCTAGGGAGAAAAGCTTCATCAAAATGCAAGATCACCTTAATGGTGGAAAATGACACAGTACTTCTGTGTGTCAGGGGGAAGGGGAAAAAAGGCCAGACAGAGCACATAGCTGTTAGGCTTTTCTAATTCTTATCATATGAAATCGGTGTATTTTATTTCTTCTTTTGCCAGCAGCTATCTGGGTGAAAGGAGGTGTAAATAGTGCAATTCTTAGAAATGTACTGTTTGCCCAAATTTTGATTTGATGAATGTTTTTCTTCACATTTCATGTGCTTCATTTCTGGCCAAAATGGTGTACTCGGCATAGCAGAGCATTATTGATACCTCCAGTTTTTCTAGAACCAAATCAGGGGGATATTTCAGAGCTAGGAGGCTTTCTGCATCCACCTGTGCTCGTCACCTGCTTGTTGGAATTTGTGAGTCGGATTTGTTTCGATAATCCCTGAGGAACTGCAGTTTACTCCTTCATTGATCTTCCTCTGGATGAAAAAGTTATTTAGCTCGTAGTGAGTTGAATTCCCATGCCAGACCCTTCTCTCTTCCTTACGTGGCATCCTGCTTACGTGAGTGTTCATTGCTTCTGCTGCCAGGCGAGGAGCCTGCTGAATGCACTTGTGTAGGCTGAGAGGAGCAGCTCGCCAAGAGGAATCAGATCAGAGCGCAGGGAATGGCATAGCATCCCCATCCCGTCCTCCCTGCAGGCTGCTGGAATGGGGAAACAACTGCTGGGAGCATAGCTGCACGAGGTGAAAATCTAGGAAGTGTTCAGCTCTAGCTCAACATCTCCTGTCTCAGTGCTTAGCGAAACTGCAGCATCAGCACCAGAAAGTCTGTGGTTGGATTGTGGAACTGTGCAAATATAATTGCAACCGATCGCTTGAAGCTTAAGTTTGTCCCTGGCTCCTGGTGTTTCATGCCTTTATTCTTGGAGCCCATCTGCACCGGAGGGTGTTGCAGATGCTGCTGAGCTGGGCAGGTTGTTTGTGCAACGGGGATTTGCCAGCAGGCAGGGCCACTGGGCTGTGCCTGGGGCAGCGTGCAGCAGCCCTGGTCAGAAACCACAGTGGGGTTAGGAGTGTTCAGACAGCAGCTCCCATCCTTGGGGAGCGTTGGGTGGAGATAGCAGGGCCTTGCTGGGTTAGGGAGGATGGACTCCTTGAGGACGGGTGCTCTGCCTTCTCCCATCTCTGCAGAGGCTGCTCCACAACAGGACTGCATCCAGAGCAGAGCTCCCTAACATTCGAGCCGTTGCACTAGGCGCTGTCCTACCAAACACAGAGCTTTCTGGGTCAAGGTCCCTATCTGCAGTTCAATGCCACTAAGTCTTGATCCCTTATTTGGCTTTGAAATTTAGGACCAGAGCCTTGAATTGGCATTCCGGGCTGGATGGGAACGTGTCAGTCCTTTCCTGGGTTCCTGTAGCTGCGTGCCTTTAGGTTAATAAGGAGAGCAATGTAAAGCCCAGTGTTAGCCTGTGCTTTCATTAATGTAAAGGTTCATAAATCTCTGAACTACAGGATGATGCTGGTGCTGTCTCTTGGAGAAATTGGCCGTTAGTAGCTATAACTAACTGGGCAGGGAGAGCTGTAATCAAAGGTAATGGACCATGAAAACCGTCTGGTTTGAAAGTGGCAAAACTGCTGCTGAGGCTTAGAGGGAAAGTGGACTGGGATGGAGACGGAGTCTAACTGACACTTAATAGGATTTCCTCTGCTCTTTATTTAACTCTTCCTGTGCTAGAGGGCTTGGGAGACCCAGCTGAGTAACAATATCCACTGGTACAGCTTCTAACACCAAAGAACAGCTCGAGTTAAGTAAATGGGACCACGATCAGATTAATGGCCAAGCTGTGGGTCTGTAAGCCAACTGATATTAAGTGTGAGGCAGAAGATAAACGTGGAAGACGTCAGTAGATATGACATAAATGCCTGAAAGGAAGTGCTGGTCAGTAGGAGGATCAGTTGGAGGAGCTGTGCTGTGCAGAGCTCCTGCACAGAGACCCCAAGTTTCTGGGAAAGAGCTTGGTTGGAGGAGGCTGGGCTCGTCCAGTTGTGAAAAAAAAAATATTAAAAAAAAAATCAGGGAGTGAATAGGAGAAGAATTAGATGTCTGAAAGGAGGAATTTGATTTGTACTTCAAGCAGAGAGACAGTTATCTTTCTTTTTTCAGCCGGAGCAAAAGGTCAGCAATAAATCTTGAAGCGTTTCTGTTACTTCCATATTTGTTCAATGCTGCAATGTCCTGCTGCTGCGGTGAGGTGTCTTTGCCACTCTGTCATATGAATTATTCCTTTTTCTCTTGACAGTTTCGAGTGTTCACGGCTCCCTTCCACAAAGTAGGCTTCGCAGATTTCTGGTTGGCTGATCAGCTCAACAGCCTGGTCGTGATACTCATGGATCTGGAGTACATGATCTGCTTCTACAGCTTCGAGGTTCAGTGGGAGAACAACGATGGACTTCTGGCAGATACAGGTAGAGAAATGCTGACGCCCCTGCGGATGCTGTCAGAATGACCTGAAAAACACCAAGCAAAGCCACTTCTTGGGCATCTGTGTTGAAGAGGCCTACCAGTGACATAGGAAACTAAAATAATTGATGTTCCTTGTAAACATGCCATTAGAGATTCTACTGTTTCTTGCTTCCATCCAGAGAAATGGCATTTCACATCAGTGTTCGTTCCCTAACCCAGTTGTTTGGCCTGACTTGCGTATTCGTCTGACTGTAGGCAGAGCATTTCTTGACTGGAAAGACAAAACCCTTTTCCTGGCATTGTTTTATTCGAGTCGTTTAACCATGTATTTGCTTTTAGCCTGTTGCTTAGCACGAAAATGAGTTGTGTAAGGCCAGTGAACCACAATGTTTTGTGCTGTAGCCTGGTTCTTACAGGCACCATCACCATATCCTAAAGCAAGAGAGGATGGAGAAACTTCCTTAGTTGGTGCTGCCCCTTATTCAGTTAGGGTTGGTGCTGCGACACCAGGGTTGTTGATGCCGTGCCTCACTCCTTTCTAGTCAGAAGAGCCCCGGAGTTGGCAGACTTTGGCCTTCCAGTCACAAAATAGTACCTGGCTCCTACTGGATCAGGCTGTTTTCTTTCCACTTTAAGCAGTGACTGCTGGCAAATTGTGTTGTCTGATGGTTTTGACACTTGCTATGAGAGATTGTGGTATGCTTCGATAAGCATCAGTATTTGCTTTGTTTTTCCAATCTGATCTTTCTCTTCCCTTTAAGACAGTGTTGGAATTAAATTAACTATTTATTTATTAAAAGAAAAAAAAAAGTTACAAAACAACTGGGTAGATAATGGTTTGTCCTCCAAACACTGGAATAACAACATAGTGCTTTGGAATAATTATCAGCTAATGAACCTGTCTCCATTAGTGTGAGTAAGAAACAAACATTTGCTAATCAGTGGGGTGTTTATTTTAGAGGTAGTTTCCTCTCACCCCAGTTGCTCAAGCTGTGGTCAGGCTATGTCCTGTCTTTGTTTAAAATATTAAAATAAATAATAATAAAGAAAGCCAAGAAAAATAAGAAAAAAAAATACTGAAAGCTGTTTTTTCCTATTATAATATGCAAGTAAAGTTAAAAATGGGTCAAGGACATCTTAGACAAAGTAGTCTTTTTGAGTTGTCCTGCTGGGTTTAGGAATGCTCTCCCATTTATGCACAAAAATTCAGTCGAGAAGGCCGTGTGTAATTCCATCTTTAATTTGGTTATTCGCAGCAGAGCCAAAAGCACAAAGTAAATTTAAAAATAGATTATTTCTAATCTTCTTGCATGTTAATTACACTGGCAGCAGTGAAAGAGTTAGAAGATTATCTGTCTGGATGTGTTATTGATGTCATGTCACCTGAATAGCTGCAAGATAGCGTAAAGGGCATCGGAATACTCCCTGAGTCTTTTGCTGTTCTGAATGTTTGTGCACGTATGTGTGCAAGTTGCAAGTGTGTGCATGCACGAGTACAAGATGTGGATGGGGCACTGCACTCTCAGGTATGCTGGTACTGCTCTGACAGAAAGGAAGACAACAGGAGTTGTTAAACTTACTGACTCTGTATCCCTGACGCTTTTTTTTCTTGCAGAAGATCAGATTTGTTACAGCTACTCCTACGGAGTGAGAGCAGTTGTCCAGTGCATCCCTGCTTGGTTGCGATTCATCCAGTGCCTGCGCCGTTACCGCGATAATAAACGGGCCTTTCATCTGGTTAATGCTGGAAAATATTCCACCACCTTCTTCGTGGTGACATTTGCAGCCCTCTACAGCACTCACAAAGGTACGGGTTACTTTGGAAAGTCATTTACCTATCAGTCCCTGCTCCTTTTGCTTTTCAGGACACCCACTGGAAGGAACTCTGGTGGACAACTCAGTCACTTTTTTACCAAGTTAGGCAGAGTGATAGCAGTATGAAAACACAGCATTGGTTCTTTGCATTTAAATCATTGTATTTTGGGGTTCTGAGCTGGTTTTCCATCGGTGGCTCTGTGCTGTGAGGAGTGGTTGTGGTGTGTACTTGTGTAAATCCCCACATGCAGCTTCGGTGCAGCCAATATGTCTCACCAGGCTTTTCTGTTTAGTAGAACATCTTGGGCTAAGTCATGGGATTTTCCTCTTACGTGGGAGAAACTTAGGATTTGGCTTCGCTTTGAAGCATGAATTTGTCTTTTGGCACCTGTGAAATATCTCAGTGGAAAGTCAAAGGGCTGCCTAGCTTGCAAAGAGTATTTTAAGATCTTCCTTTGGGTATTTTTTGCATACGCAGTGTACTTATAGCTGTGATTCAGGAGTGTCAGAAAGAATGTTCAGGTTTCTCTCTCAAAAGGAGGAAACTGAAATAAATACCTGTCAGTTCTTGCTGTGACGGGAGGCTGGATGGGGGATGGATAAGGAAAAGGAGGATGTGGGAAATTCTTCTCCCTTGGCTTTCCTGAACAGCTAAAGTCAGTCTGTCATTCCTGGACACAGGGGGATGTTCACAGTGCTGGGAAAATGTCCTCTCTGGATTTTTCTGCATGTTTTTATCCATGTTTTTTCTGCAGCTGGCAGGGAGTTGTTTCCAATCCATTTAACTGCAGATTGAGCTCTGATCCCTAAGTTCCCCATCTCCCTGGAAACGACAATTACTTGATTCTGCTCTTGTTCTGAAGGAAAAAGCTTTTAGTTTCTGCACTTCAGGCAGTCGCCCTGCCTTTCATTGTTCTGACGCCCTAAAAGCTGTATTCTTTCATTTGAAAATATACGCCTCGTGTATCTCCAGGAATTAGCAGCTACACACACTGGTGAGCAACCACTTATCCTGAGATACAGTTGGGGCAGGGCAGGGAGAGGTGTTCAAGGTGTGCTTCTAGTTAACCTGCTGGTTTTGGGGAGGGGGAGCAGGGTTATTAGAAACCTTCCTGTGGCCAAGAAATGGCTGTTTTCAGGTCACACACATAATGTTTGCCAAGCCTGGTGTCCTAGTGGCACAGAAACACCCTGGGGCAAGCTGAAGGTTGGAAGTCGGGCGCTCTGCATCCAGGTGCACGCACAAACCCGCCGAGGGAGCATCCCTGGCAGCTGGTGTTGCAGCTCATCGCCTGGCTCCTCGTGCATCTCCTTCCTGCTGCCACAGCCGCAGAGCTTGCTCCCATTTGAAGTTGCTTGCTCGGTGCCACCCTGCAGCTCCTTGCTCCCAGCCCTGCAGCCCCGTTAGTCACAGCTGCTAAGCCGCGAGATGAGACAAATACAGATTGCCTGGCTGCAGTCGGAGCTTCTGCATTTTATATACAGTGCCTGCTTTTAGGAGCCTGATGAATGCTTCTCCCTCGTGTGGGGGCACCCTGGAAGAGCCTCCCTTGGGAAGGCTGGGGTAGGTTTGTTTGGAACAGGAGGAAAACCAGCATCTGTCAAAACGTCCTGTTTAAGAACTTGACCTCATCTTATCCCCTTGAGGTTTGCGTCTGTGCCAGTGCTGCTGACCCTTGTTCTTGTCGCTGCCATACACAACTGCTGTCTGCTCCTGGGATCTGGCAGGGAGTGGGCTGTAACGAGGTGTTTATGAGCCCTGCATGGGCTTGTTCCAGCTGCCCAGAGACCTCGGTGACTCCCAGCTTTGGTCTGTCCCTTTCCGTTAGTGGCAGTCGATAGCACATAGCTGCTGGTATCATGCAAAAAAAATTTGGAAGCTTCCCCGTGTTTGGAAATTACACGTTCGCACAGCTTTTGCAAATGTCACCGTGCCTGGACTGGCAGTGATTTTCAGAGTGCTGCCTGAAGACCTTGCTATGCCTTGTCAGCCCTGCTGGCTTATTCCCATGCTGCCACAAATGCGCTTCCTAGCGCACTGGATCTGTTATAACTTCTTTCTTTGGTTAAAATCTGTTAACATGTTAGCTGAGCACTTTGCTTGGATTTCCAGTTCTTTCTGAACTTGGAGTCGGATGGGCTGTTACCGAGTGTTTACGATGTTCCTGTTGGAAGCAGAAGCGCTGCTCCCCCACGCTTTCTGTCTGCCTAAGTATAGCAGAGACAAACACTCATCTCTTATTTACAAAACAACTGTTGGGGCTGGGGATGTTTGCTGCTAGGAACAAACACTGCCCAAAGCAAGTGTCAAATTGGTAAAGATCCTCGCTACTTGGACCTGTTCTAAATTTCAGTGAGTAATGAACCTGTTAATTGCCGTTTTAACGAGAGTTTTATTTAAACAGACTTTCATGCCTCTGTTTGCAAGTCTATGACTTATAAGTCTGGAATGACAGCTTTCAGCTGCCAGGAGAAGAGGGTAATTTGTGGCCTTTTCTTGGGAGGTCAGGTAACGTACACCAGCCTGTTCTCCTTGGGAGTCCTGGGGAACATCACAGCCCTCTGGGGAGGGTTGTCTTCCTCCCGGAGTCAGAACAGTGAATAATTTGTAGCTGCTCTGCAATTTTTCAGTTTTGCGGCTGCCAGCTGCGTGAAGATGGACGGTGTGGTTAGGAGGGTTTGTCAGCGTTGAAAGCCAGCTAATTCGTACGTTGTTTTCACAGACTGCTTGGGAAACAACTTGAGCTAAGCAAATGTCCAAATGCCACCTTGTTACGTACGGCTGGTGTATGCAGCATATGCGGGACTGCCTTTTCCCAGCCTGCTGTAGGTTTGTAAGGTTCCTCCCTGTCCTGGTGGCACTGTAGGCTTTGGACCGGCATTTCAGTTTCCCCAAAGGATCGCTGTTCAAGACCTCATATTGCTTGGCTGGTGCATTCTTTCTTCCCCTAGAGAAGCCTTTACTTTTCTTCCTTCTGATTTGGGTGCAAAATGCAACTTTCTCTGCTCTTTGCAGTTGTAAAGAGAGACCCAGTAGATACCAAAGTCAATCCTGTTGCGTCTCGTCTCCCAGGCTGGCACTCTCGCAGTGCTGGAATCCAGCTTGTTTACAGGGCTCCCTCCGAGCCAGCATCTCCTGAATTAGTGATGCTTAAGCGAGAGCCCCGTACCGGGGGACTCGAGCAGGCAGCGGCTGCGTGCACGAGCGCTAACTCGAGCCATCCGCTTCGCCTGCCAGCTCAGGAACACGACCGCGTTTCGGGGAAGACAGCGGGAACCAAAGGGCAACTGTTGCTAAGCTCCCAAAGGAAGAATTCTCAGTATTTTTATATCGCTCAAAGGAATGGGAAGCAAAGGCCGTGTTCTGTAAATATAGTCCTCCGGGATATGTTTGCCCAGGCAAATGAGGCAGATCTGTAACTCGAAGCGACGCAGCAACTGCAGCCTGGGCCTCCCTGCCCGGCCGCCGTGCGGCGGAGCAGCCACCTCTGTCCCCGGCTCTTCCTCCTCTTCCTCTGCCTTTTAGCACCCGCAGTGCTGAGTGGTTCACCCAGAGCTGGCCTGCTGAACGTTGCAGTGCTTCGGGTAACCCATCCAGAAACCTGGGTGCCTCTGGGGAAACAAGCCATTAAATCCCAATGCTTCAGATCCAGCGGTTGTATTTAGGAGGTCGGCTCCTACTGTAGCACATCGAGAAGCGGTGCAACTGGAGTTGTGTTGTGCTAGGAGAGTGCTGAGCATCGTGCCTGACACATGCACTCACTTTGTTCTTTGTAAAATGCAACGCCTCCTGCTTTTTCCTGCTGCCTCTCATTTTTCTCGTCTCGATGCTTTTTGCTCCCGTGGTGTCATCTGAAATACCTGGCTCGTGTAGAATACAGATTTGGCTTCCATGCTTGAATAACTAAGCTTCTTCAAGTGCTTCCATCATTTTCTTGTTTCGTGTGATTTGCAGTTGGTGTGAGCGTTTGTGTGCTTACCTTGACTTTTCAGGAACATGGCAGTGAGCTCAAGTACGGCTGCTGGCTTAAAATTGACTGTATGGGATTTTATCTTGTAACTGAGGGAAGGATGTAGTGGTTTATGTGAAGCTTCCATCCTCAGTGTGATTCACACCCCTTATTCCCTGAAATCATTGTGGCGTGGGTGGTACCCAGCTGTTTAATGACCTCTGATTTAATCCAAAGCTAAGCCGTGTGTCCTGGGAATTTGTGCAAGTGTCTCTCCTCCCGTACCACTCCCACACCCTTAATAGATACCCCAGATAAGACTGCTGGATGTGAGCTGCCATCAGCTTGGAAAAGCAGTGGAGAGCTCCCGGGTCTAAGACAATTTAATTGCCACACAATTTCTCATTAAACAGTGCAGGACACTGACAGTAACTGCACGGGGCTGCTTCTGTAGCTCAGTGCTCCCACCTGTGTTCTCAGCATCGCTTCAGAAGCAGCCATCCTGCCGCAGTGATGTGGAACTCCTTGTGTCTTTGCTTTTGTGCTTTTTGTTTTTTTTTGTGTTTTTTTTTTTTTTTTTTTTAAGCTAGCATAAATGACAACTGTGAAAGTCGCTGCCTTACCTAGAAATAGAGATGTGACCTGACAAGGCAGGAGCCATCCCTAGATTAATGGGCTTTTGCAGGAAGGTGTTGGACCGTCTCTTACTGACGGCGAGGTTCAAGCAGGCTGGAACAGATGAAGATGAATGGGAAACGTGCTGCTGTTTGGAAACCTAGCGGAAGGCTCCAGGGCTGGTTCAGGTCTCACAGCGGCCCCCCACTCCTCATTAATCATGGTGGTTGAAGCAGTTCCCAGCAGTCACACCGGGCGCTGGAATGGATCGCTGGTTCTCCCACGGTCGCTCCCACCACAGCCCAACTGTGCCATCCATCACCGGGATGGATGGATGGATGGATGGGTGGGTGGATGGGTGGGTGGATGGATGGATGGATGGATGGGTGGATGGATGGATGGATGGATGGATGCAGGGGGGAGAGGA